AATTTCTTAGTCCTCGAAAAAATAACAAATTATTGCGCTATCAACAACTGAAGCAGAATACATGGCAGTAGCTTCAGCAGTGTGTCAAGGAATATGGCTTCGTAAGATGCTTTATGAACTGATGCGTGAACAGAAAGGTCCTACAAAATTGATGTGTGATAACAAGTCGGCGATTGCATTAGCCAAGAATCCTGTTTTTCATGGTAGGAGCAAACACATAGACATTAAGGCTGCGCATGACAACTTGCCAAACAGTGTTTGATTCTGTTCTTTTGTTCCCAGAATCAGTTTGGGAACAGAAATGCGTTTGTTTAATTTTTTGATTCTGGGCACAATTTTGTCAAAAATTGTTCCCATAATCAGTTTTGGAGCAGAATCAAGAATAAAAAAAAAGTAGCTTCTTAATTCTGGGAACAATTTTGAGAATCAATTTTTTTTTCTTCTTCCTTTTCTTGATTTTTAATTTAGCTTCTAATGTCCGGCCCGAGGACCGCGCTCACCGGATTTGACGAGAATAAAATATTATTAATAAAAAATATTTTACCGGCCATGGCCGGCGACCAGGCCATGGCCATAAAAAAGAAAAAAAAATATTTTTAATAAAAATATTTTAATAAAAAATATTTTACCTGTCATGGCCGGTAACCAGGCCACGGCAAAAAAAGAAAAAATATATATTTTTAATAAAATATTTTAATAAAAAATATTATTAATAAAAAAATATTTTACCGGCCATGGCAAAAAAAAAATAAAAATGTATATTTTTAATAAAAAAAATATTTTACAGACCATGGCCGGCAATCAGGCCATGGCCAAAAAAAAAGAAAAATATATATTTTTAATAAAAATATTTTAATAAAAAAAATATTTTACTAGCCATGGCCGGCGATCAGGCCATGGCCAAAAAAAAGAAAAATATATATTTTTAATAAAAATATTTTACCAGCCATGGCCAGCGACCAGGCCATGGCAAAAAAAAATATAAATATATATTTTTAATAAAAATATTTTGATAAAAAATATTATTAATAAAAAAAAATATTTTACCGGCCATGGCCCAAAAAAATAAAAATGTATATTTTTATTTTTAATAAAAATATTTTAATAAAAAAAATATTTTACCGGCCATGGCCAAAAAAAATAAAAATATATATTTTTAATAAAAATATTTTAATAAAAAATATTATTAATAAAAAAATATTTTACCAGTCATGGCTGGCAACTAGGCCATGGCCAAAAAAAAGAAAAAATACTTTTAATAAAAATATTATTAATAAAAAAATATTTTACCGGTCATGGCCGGCGAGCAGGCTATGGCCAAGAAGGAGGAAAAGAAAAAAAGAAAAGAAAAAAAAGAAAGAAATATTAAAATATTTAAAAATATTATTAATAAAAAGAAATTTGGTGGCGTTACCAAATGCATTTCTGTTCTTTTTCTATTCCAGGGATGGAATTTTGGGCCGTTAACAAACGCCTTAAAATGCTCAGAATCAATTTCGGGTATAGAATAAAAAAGAATCATTTCTGAGCAGAATCTGTTCCCGGGCATAGAATCGTTGTCATGCGCAGCCTAAATATCATTATATCCGTGAGCTGGTCAAAGATAGAGAGATTGAACTTGATTTCTATAGATCCGAGGATCAGATTGCAGATATTTTGACGAAACCATTGAAGGCGGATTTGTTCAAGAAATTGAAGACGATGTTTGGTGTTGTTGAATTCCAAAATCAATTTTAAGGGAGGCTGTTAGAAATATTAAAATTGTTTTTGTCTTTATTCAAACTTGATCCTCAAGTTTACAAGTCCTCAAGTATACAATTTGGCCTTCAAGATAATACAAACTTGGTCTTCAAGAAAATTTCATCTCTACCTTAGGAGTAGTATAAATAGGTTGTCCCCTCCCTATTTGTGTAAGAATGTGTGGAAAGCCATAGAAAGAGAGAGCTGAGAGATATGAGAAAAAGCTTGTAGAGCTAAGCTTGTATTCCTCTGTGCAAAAGGTATTTTGAATATTATTCTCTCTCGTTTATGTATTTGTGTGCTTCTCACCAAAATCTTCAAAGTTTCTCTATATCCCTTTTTTGCTTCCAACAATTTTACCCCAATTCCTCGGTTGTGAGGATAGGATTTTGATGAACACAACGAATTTAGCCCCAATTCATTAATTTGGGGCAAACAAATGTGATACACAACGTGATTTTCACTTTGCCATCGAGAAACGTTTTATTATTAAAATAATGCCATGTGGGAGTTTCCAGCTGTGCAAACCTTTTTCACCAAAGTGGCAATGAAGTGATCGAAAAAAAAATTATGGCGCTAAAGTAACACCCGTATGAAAAGTTATGGCACTTTTTGGTGACCTTTTCCCTTGTAGTTGTAAAGCAATGAACTGATCATCACTGATCTGCTCTATCGGCCAACAGCTACTCTCGAATCATATAACTTGTTTTCTTTTGATGATGAGATGTCATATGCCTTCGAAACTAAAATGGTCAAATTCGAAATACAATCTCGTTATACATGCAAAAAAAAATTGCCAGGAAAGCTGCAACTGAGTGCAATCTAATTTCACAACTTGACGTGCCCCATCAGCAGAAGAGTTTGCTACGGCCAAGCCCTTCAAATTCCAGAACGAAAGCAGTGCACCTGTCCGCAGTTTCAATGCACAGAGCAGAAGACTAAAACCCCTCTTGAGGGAATAATATTAACAGCTTAAGCCAAACAAAACATCCTTAAAAAAAAAACACAAAGGAGCAACATAGGCGTCAAAAACGCTGCAGATCACGCGATGCCGCGATCCTCTTGTACATTTCCATGACCAACTTGGTGTCCACCTCCTCTCCATTCGGCATGAGACAAACCTGCCGAGACTTTGCCAATCTCTTTCCTCTGGATACCCCAGGACTCCTGCTCAAGCAGCCGACTTTAGCGGCAAGCCGGATCATCCCGTCGATATAAGCATCGTGAAACTTTGTCAGCAGATTCACCGGCGAGACCATCTTGAGCAGCCAGCGGCATTTCGGCTTCGCCCGTATCTTCCACACACGCCGCCGTGGGCTTCCGTCGTTCCCTAGCCTCACTGTCTTCATCTTCCTGTTCTTGCCGCTTGGATCGAGCCTCTGGTATCTCCTCCTCCTCCAGAACCTCTTCACGTTGTCTGAATACGCACTTGACACCATCTCCATCGATGTGTTTTGTGTGGGGAGACCAAGACTAAGATATGAAGTGGGTGCGTGAAGAGATGGATATGGAGAGAGGGTACTTATACATGAACGCTATATATAAATTATTTAGATGGAATGGGTGATGAGATCCGTTGCTTGTCGAGGTTTGAACGAAGGCTTGTAAGAGATCAGAAAAGGCCGCGAGAGAGGTCTTGTTTTTCAGTGTTTGGTCGAATATGGACTGTCTTTGACTTGGCAAGGCTTGATTTAAGATTCTGCTTCTTGCATGTATTTGCACCAAATGACGTACAGTTTCGTGTATGCATTGCCCTCATCTTACAGACTCTCGTGGTTTGGTGATTATTATCCTTTGAATTTATTCTGTTGAGCAACAGTAAATTATCACTATGTTTGATTGAGTCCATGATACAGAGGCGATGGAGCTTAAGGGTGCCTGTTCCTAGGAACAATTTCTTTTCGGACAGTGTTTTTTTCTATTTCTATTCCCTGGATGAGTTTCTGAGCAAAAGAACGCGTTTAATAACTGCACAAAATTTTTATTCTCGAAATAAAAAAAGAACAGAAAAACGTTTCATACGACCCTAAAATTTTTCGTGAAGTGGAATTCTTTTTAGTTTTGTCATAATTTTCTGAGACTTTTCTCTCTTTTTTTTTTGAATATTTTCTTTTTTTCCTCCCTTCGTCTTCCTCGATGAGGGCTGAGCGAGGCTCACCCTCGCCGGCCCCCGTCTCTGGCTGGTCGCCAGCCATCACCGAGGCCCAGCGACTAGCTAGAGGAGGAAGAAGAAGGAAAGAAAAAAAGAAAATGACCTTGTTTCAGAAAAAAAAAAAATTTGCTTAATGTTTCTATTTCAAATCTATTCCCAATCACTTTTTTATTCTGAGGAATAGAAAAATTAACCGACGTACACAAACGAATTTCTATACATTTTCAGTTCCGGGAACAAAAGAATAGAAAAACGGAGAAATAAAAATATTTACCAAACGCGCCCTAAGCTGCTAGGAAGGCGCAAGTCATTAGCAGGAGAAAAAAGAAGATTGCTTCATCACAAGCAGAGCAAATGTTACATCACGATGACGAATGTCCTAATTCGAGAGACATTGCTTATCCCCATCAATGTCATTAACTACAACAATTATTGAAAAGGGTGGAACCGTGGGAAGAGCTTGACCAGTCATCTGTCACTGGGACGGCTAAGAAAATTCAAAGACTCACGGGCTAAAGGTAACCGAGTCGGGAGAGAGAGTGTTGACCACCCTGGCAAACTTTATCTGATCTTTTTGTAATTGCAGGTCTCCGGTGATCTGAGAAAACAGAATGAAAAGGACAAGATTCAAGTGTCGTCTATGGCTGAGAACCGGTCAATCCCTTCTGTTCCCGTGGAATGAGTCCTTCCCCCCATTTCATTACACGTCAAAAGGTCCGAGCATTCCCATTCTGAGGAGGCCAATCGGGAAGCGACGGCTGGCGACAAAAGCTAACATAGTATCTGCAATCGCTTGTATACCTTTAGATGAATATATATAGTTGAGATACGTTTCGAGATAGAATGATTCGGCCCCTGAATTTCCCGCCCCACTAACTGTACATACAAGAGATCGGGAGTCGACCTATCAATTAGCAAGCGATCGCCTCTCGAACACAGAGAAAACCAACATTAAACCCTCACTCGAAACCGCACCATCGGTTTTCTTAGGTGTACCCCCATGGAGAGTTCATATCATTTCCCCGTTAAGTGGCTGTTTGGGATAGTTGTATCCGTGCGGTAGCTGAACTGTCGATACGGTTTAGCACGAGCATTTGGCAACACATGCTTTAAAGCCACAATAACTTGAAACTGGGTAGAGTGGTTCCCTAAAAGCAGTCATAACTTTGCCAGATAACATCCAGAGATTTATCCTATCTCCCACAGACTCATCTCCTTAAGGTACAATTAGCACAACCCAGCATCAGTGGTTTAGCCAAATCTAACCCCACAAAGATCTTTCCATTTAAGGACATATATACACACAACCCACACGTACAAATGCATATACCCACCCGCAAAATCATCTCCTCCCACATTCAACATCATCAAATGGCGACCTTTCCTCCCGAGCCTCAGGCGACAACACCGGGTTCCTGTACGTTCTTGCCTGGAGATTCGTGGCCTGAGCCTCCATCGCCTGTATAGAGATCCCGTTTGGGGGAGGGGCCGAGTTTGAGTTGGTATGCATCTCTTCCAACGCTCGGAAGTACGCATAAGGGCCCCATCCTGAAGTCAGTTGAAAACAAGCAGTATCTCATTCAGTCATGGCTTGATGTGAATGTTGAATCATCAATCAATTATTAGAAGCTTCCAAATTAAAGTTTAACTCTGAAAAGCAACACGAGAATTGATGATAGCCAGTCTCAGCCTCTCTCCCTGTCCGCGAAGTATCCAATACAGACAGATCGAGCACGACTCCAAGGGAAGAGAAAACTTTAAAGGGGAGGTTATGATGCCTAAAAGATCTGGAAAGCAATTGATCAAGGAGGAGGCCATCTCGAAAATTATCAGACGCAACGTAAAGTATATACCATAACGCACGTGATGCAATAACCGGAGCAAACAAAACAAAAAATAACCTGAAAAATTCAATGGAAAACACATATTACCTTCGTCGTCATATGGTGGAGGAAAAAACTGATGATAACAGAAAGCTGCTACAATGAGCCCTGCACATTATGAAACAGAGCGAACTTCTTTAATCATACATAGAAGTAGATTCTTTCTTTTTTCCCCCTTTTTTTCTGTGCTAATTTATGCACAAGTAATCTTTTTCGTGTTAAATAATGCGAGATGAGACCTGAATCCAGGTCCAGGCCAATTCAAGATAAAGGCACTGCAAAAGCGTACCCATAAAACCTGCCGCAAAAACATCTTGCCAGTGGTGCCAATAGTCGTCCACTCGTGAGACCGCGACGAGAGATGCGAGTAGTAGAGGAAGGAAAATGATGCACAACTTGGCTATGTGCCCTTTCCGATCAAATACTCTAATTTTGCCGCATAAGTACAGCGACAGAAAACCTAAGCCCGCAAAGGACCCTGCGCAAAAACTATAAGTTGTCGGGTTGCTCATCCTGGTAACTCTCTTAGAAAGGATGACACACAGCATGCTCGTTCCATTACATTTTGATTTCAAATTATCTCAACGTACATGAATCAAAATCCCCAGTTAATTAAAGCAAAGACACAGATAGTTGAGGTTTAGGCATAGAGGAGTGCTTACAGGAGGCATGGCCACTTGGGAAACTCTTGTACCCTTCCCTTATAATCAGCTCCTTGCCATGACACACGACATTTCCCAACTTGTCGTATACCTGAAAAAGATTAAAAAAAAATTGAAAAAAAAAAAACTTATGATGGAAGGGAAAACCAAATTCATTGCCAAAGTGCTTAGTCATACATTAAACAAAAGTTTCTAAGCAATGCAACCGACACTGTTAAAAGTGATTATCTGATCCTTTTGAAAGCAAAGAGGCAGCTAAGTCCGGAAAACTTAACTACTAATTAGTATGATTAGAAGATGTTTCTAGAAATTTCGAAAATCGCCAAGAGGAAAATCTAGGCGAATATGAATATAACAGCAATGTCACCGTTGTCAATGACAATCTTTAGTACAATAAAACAAAAAACGAAGGAAGTCATAGCCTACTTCGATTCCGTCTGGAAAGCAACGCCAAAAGAAGTCGGGTCGAGGCCGACCAGTCGCATTCTTTATTGAATCCGTAATCACCCCAGTAATTAGCACTGAATACAAAACCCCTGCTCATGCATTCCAAACAGGTCATCAAATAACTCATTAACAGCCATTTCACTGCATGCGTTCTGATCGAAGATCCAACAACTTCAAGATTAAGGATTTACCTAAAATTCCATGGTGCAGATCATAAACATCCCTCCTACGCACGTAGACAAGAAGGAAGACGGAAATTGGTAACAGAACAGCATACACCTGTTCATGTTAGGAAGAAAAGAACTTACCATTAACTTTGTATGTTTTATCTTTTTCATTTCACATAAGGCATCCTTAGCCTTTCTCATATAGCTAGAGGACCACCCGACCACACTATATGACCCACAATTGATCACTAGATAAGAATGAGGTGACAAAACTTACAGGAACGGCCCAGATAGGCACCGTGTTTCTTTTCATTGGATATCTAAGATCCGTCATCATATCTTTCCCCACAAAGCGGTAAAACGGATGGATGATGTAAAGCATGACCTCTAGGAGTGCGAGCAACAGCAATATAAGCCAGTCGTGCATGTGATTTTTTGCAAGCGCCGCTCCATGCGACTTTATAGTATGCCTACCAAGCTCCACCTGATCCATTCTTCCCTGAGAAGAGAGAGAGAGGATGGGCATGCCAGAGGACGGCATCAAAATTATTAGACGATACATCATCATTGACATAAATATCAGATCCAAGACAATATAGACAAGGTAAGGATCAGTGAAAAACTGTAAATTAATAGGACAGCTGAAGAGTGTGTTATGACCCAATTTATATCCTAGAAATTCTCAGTAACCTCAATTCGAGTGTATTTGGCTATATTGTTCTGGCGCAGGTCAAAGGAAAATCAGATGCTTAAATCATGACTTACAACCTGAATGCACAGCACAATGCCTTAGGTTTGCCGTATCTGTACCAAAGCACAGCATGTTATTCACCATTAATGCTCAACTGCCGCTCTTTCAACATGTGTTGATATTACTTTTTTATTTCAAGGGTAATTTTTTGCGTCTCACCATCACACGACTAACGTGCAACCCAAAGTACACTTTTTTTATCTGGCCAAAAAAAAGAAAAGGAGTAGCCTTTGGGATTGCTTGGCGCAGGGAAAAAGAATCACTTTAAGCCATAACACAGACGGTGACGATAACTAAGGGCAAGAAGCTGAACGCAACCCAGAAGTCCAAACTCACGACTTCTGCTAAAACTCGTCAGGATAAGGAGTTCACTCTCGGTCACAAACAAAAGGACTTCCAAACCCGACAGGACAGCATGTCCTCGAACGCTGGCGAAAACCGCAAACTGTCATTGATAACTTCTTTTTCGCAGAGAATTCCTCGAAAAGCGAAGCATGACAAACGGACAAAATCAACGACCAAGTCAGTATCCCGCGGACACCAACATCCAAACGCACGCAGAACAAACAAAAGAGGAGAAACACATAAGACTCCGGCTGACCTGACAGACGACATGGAAGTAGCGGAAGGGCAAGAGAGAGCCGACACGTCTCCAAACCCAAGCCATTGACGGAGGAAGCGAAGCAGAGCGCTCGAGCCCCCGTACAACCTCGCAATGGGAGTGACCGTCGGTGCGCCCACCAGCCAACCAAAATACGAATATCGCAGAAAGTGGGGGGGTAGATATTTATCCGTCTCTTCCTTGTCCTCCTGCTTTTACCGGTACACAACAAAAGCGAGCGTCCCAATCCTAGCCCCAGTGTGTGCGCCCCGAGAAAAGGGGAAAGGGGCACACCACCAACGACAGGCGAGCCGGAGTCAAGTGGAAACGACCCGTGAAGGCGAAGGCGAAGAGGAAAACAGAGCAGTAAGGACGACAGGACCGCCCACCCACCTCGTCGGCTCTTTGAAAATTGCCGAAGTTTTCACAGGGGACGATGATGACGGCGGCGACGACGGCGACGACGGCGACGGTGATGGTGACGGTGGTGGTGGGGGAGGACCCAGCAGTTAAAAAGGAACGGCTGCGAAGGGGGGAGGGGGAGAGGGGGGGGGGGCAGCATTAGCAACAGAGAGAGGCGAGATCACCGGGCTCGATTCGAAAGTTCAAAAGTCGCGTCCCCCGTCCCACCCGTCTATTGGGCACCGTGGCTTTCGCAAGAAAAAAGGGAAGAAAAGACAAGAGGGGGTAAAAAAACAAAAAAGAAAAAAGAGAGAGAAAAATTAACTGCCGCGGATGAAGTGGGCCCCGCGCCGCGCGAAATCTACCGATCCAGCCGTTAAGATGAGATTGAGAAAAAGGATAAAAAAGACGAATTCACCCCCGGGATGCGAGTGATTACCATTTTCTTTTCGGATCGAATTTCTAGCCAGAAGTGCTTTTGTTTCTTATTCCGTGAATTAGTCTGATCAAAAGGTAGCATTTGATAACGGTACGAAATTTCTGTATCCGAAACAGAAATTTCGTCTGATAACGTCGATGTAGAATTCGTACATCGGCGGGCGAGCGACCAGCAATGTTGGCGGGCGGGTGACTGGTGGTGATGGCAAACGACGGGCTGCGGCGGATGACGGCTGTCTGCGAGCAGCGAGCGCTAGCAGTAAGGGCAAGCTCTTAGAAGAATTGTTAATTCTGTTTATAGAAAAGTAGAAAAAAGTTTCTTCTCGTTTTTATTCCAAATCTATTTCTAGGCTAAAAATTTATCCCGGATATAGAAAAATAAAATTGTTTCAGCAAACGAATTTCTATTCCAAATCTATTTACGGATACAGGAAGATAAAAAAAAACAGAAAAACGGAATTGTTATCGTTTGCGCCCCCATTCGCAATAGCGAAATGGAAGAACAAAATCGTAGGGATTGACCAAAAAAAAAGAGAGAGAGAGAGATGTCGTGGTAGTTCGGATAATTCAAATTAATATTATTACAGGATCCCAGATTTTCAACAGAATGATGAACAACCCTCGCCATTTCTTTGATTCACGGACCCACTTCAATGAAGTGGGATCGAACCCCCATTTATAATATCCCTTACCGACTTGTGTTTGTGGTAAAACGATGGACGTTGCTATATGTGGTGCACGTGAATCGGGGCTCCATTCCGACATAAAAGAACAACAATGATGGTAAGGTAATAATGCCGCCAATTCCGACCCCAAAAAAAAAGAAAAAAGGTCATGAAGCCAATCATTGACGCATGACATTGATGCATGTATCCTAAGTTCTGAGCCCATAGCCCATATCGGACACTACGGCCCAAAGCCCATCGGACGATCATACGAGATGATGAAGAGTCCTCATGTTCGGACGGCACGGCAGGCATTTGTATCGCGGAAAAAATGAACGGTTTGAAATACATTTTTTTTTAAAAGCGACCGCTTATATCGTTCGGAATAATTAATCAATGGAAAATATTTGCATTATTGAAAACAGCTTATGTTTAAACATCTTCATGGACGATAGAAGTGTATTGCGTTTCATTCGTTTTTGTAAGCGGTATAACAGATCGCTTTTAGGAAAAATATTTTTCAAATCGTTCATTTTTCGCGAAACAAACTGGAACTTATAATCGCCTCGATTATTAATAATGCACTTTAAAGAGAAACCCAAAGACATTGATGAATCGTCTTGTCCAAAACCCAATCGAGCCGACACCGTCGAAGTGGGAAACCCACCCTTCAAGTAGAAATCATATCTCGGCGGAGAAAGAAACGGAGGCGCGTAAGAAAAGAAGAGAGCAAGACTATACATATGTTCGATTCCTATTAGAAAAATTCATAAAGAGTTCGATTTTATCAGTAGCGCCAAGCAAGATTAGCGTGTTCATGAGTTGAAATGCCGTTTCGTACGTTAAGATAGATCTCGATGTGGTTAATAGGTGGAATTAATTTTAAAACCTCGACTAACTACGTTGCAAATACTGTTATTCATAGGGAATATGACGCAAATGGGTCCATGGGCTTTGGTCTAACATACAAATCCATGAACTTTTAATTTGATCGATGCGAATCCTCAAGTATTAATAAATGACCAATATCGTCCATGGACTATACCATCAATTCAAGTTAACGGAATCTGCTGATGTGAATTCCAATTCGTTAAGTTTAAATGGAGGACAACAAAAAAAAGTCATGCACCGACTACCCAAGTAAATTATTCATCTCAAATCGAAATATAATAATCACGTCACCATATAATGATGGCCATGTTAACACCCTAATTTATTTTCCTTTTCTAAAGTAGATATATAAATCGGACCAAAAAAAAAGTTAGATATAGAAGAAGATGGAAACATCGACTCGTCATTTTGTAAAATCCAACTCGGCACATAACAAATCCGCGTCCTTAAAAAACATCCAGTTTGTCGATTGAGCAAACGGAAAAACCACACTGAACAATTATTAAATAATTCAAGTACCACATCGAACCAGATTAAAAATCCAGAGACGGCACTGCACATCGTACCGAAAATTCAGGGACCGCCCGTGTCGTTCTCCCCGTAACTTACATGAAATTTACGGCGATCTTCTTTTCTTTTTATTGTTATTGTTTTATTTTATTTTTGTTCCGGTGAGCGCATGCCACGTGTTGCGGTGTGATTCGTGAGTGGGGGAGACCGGAGAGTCCCCGGGCTGTCGCCGCACGTTCGCCGAAGAATTTACTTTTTACAGGATATCAAATGATTAATTAATACGTAATACGAGATTACTCAATATAAGCACCCTTTGCTCGCTCCAGCTGGCGCACTCATCTCCCAAGGGCCATCGAAAAAAACTGTGCGATAAGCACATCGACCCCTTTCCAAAAGATTGGATTTTTTTTTATCCATATTGTTGTTATAATTCGAAAAAGGTTGGTAAGTATAAAGAACTGTTCATAAAAGGAATTACCAATCACCTGAATTATCTCGATAATAAGTTGGTAACTCACCGGCACTTTTGTGAAATTACCCGCTCTTTTTTGAATAGTTTCTAAACTATCCATTTTTTTTTATGTCTTAGTAATTTTTATTTATGTTTTTTTTACCAAAACCTCGAATTTACTAGAGATTATACGAATTTACAGGTCTTTATATGTCTAGCTGTCTTTTGTTAACTTACCGGCTTTTCTCCGTAATAATGGTAATGGTGGTGGTAACAGTGGTCGAAGATCGAGGAATCACGCCGATGACAAATTTCGATATCGGGATTTTCAGTCAACAATAATGATGATTTGTTTAAACATGCCAATATCTTACTCTTGTCTACTCGAGATATAATAGATTAAAGATGTTAGATGGTTCCGTAGAATGATGATTCCAATTCAATGTCATTAGTGCAATAGAAGTTGCATCACGTCATATCTCGTATTGGTTGAGAGAGGTTATGCGACTGTGATTTATATGTAAGATTTAGCCCAAATGAGTATCACATTAAGTGGTGCTTTTTAGAGCTTGGTCCATGTGAATCAAGTTGGGTCGTTCTAAATGATATCAGTGCAAACTCCCCTCACAATACATGTGAGCCTCGAGAATGGACTAGACTAGTAGTTGATCTGACGTGATCGATGGGGAGTAATTGCTAGGGCAAGATGTTGTTGGACAATGTGCAGATCTTGATCGGCTTTCAGGATGACTAAAGAGTAAGAATAGGCTTAATCACATTTATGATATGGGGAGTTATTGGTCGAGTGACTCATAAATAAGACTCACCTCACACGTTCATCATGCTAAGTACTCTTTTTAAGAGAGCTGGGCCACATGAATTGGGTCGAATTGTTCCGCGGATCCAAAATATTTTCTCGTCAATCAATTGGGTTTTGAATCTTGTATCTTGATTGGTTGGATCCTAAACATTGTGAAAAGGGCACAATCGAACCCTAATCACATCACCGGTGACATTTCGTAGCTAGAAAACTCTCTTCCTAAGATTTCACGAAAGCAAGTATCGTATTAACGACAATCAAGTATCGTGTTCATACTCAATTGCATTTTTTTTTCAAAAGGAGTAAGTTCCAATTTAGTCAAACATTCAAAATACGACCGCCAATGGCTCGATCGATCGGCGGTCAAAACAGTCAGGACTGCTGCTGCTGCTGCTACATATATCCCTCGAGTAGCGTTTTCGTTCATTTCGAGGAGACAGGGAGAGCGCGCTTCGTGCATTCCAAAGTAGATTAGCTGTTTCCTAAAGGGGTGGCCATGCGGACCGAAATCGGGAGTTGAATGTTTCGGAAAGGGTCGATGCATGGGGACATCACATGCCTGATATTTAGGGACGAAACGGATGTCACGCGGCAACGCAACGGATGTGGCTCCCTTGGGGCGAAGCTTCTCCAGAAGAAGACGAGACACCCTACTACTCTACGAACACGCATTTAAGAATTCGGAAGACCAAGATCTTCTGTCCACGACTCGAACCTAGATTTTCGCAAAGAGAAATGGT